ATTTTGGCTAGTACTATTCATAATTCTGGCCGCAAGATTGTGTAATGTTACACTACAGAAATTTTTGTAAAATTATCATTTACCTATAATTTGACCCAAAAATATATCGATCTATATAAATCAAAAATTTTCCGTGTCCCTGCAAGAAAATCATCCGTGCATGATCTGATCTTTGTCAAATTAAATATGATCCTGCAAAAAACCATTTGTTTTTGTGTAAATTCTCTCTTTTTATTTCTTGTGATTTTTCTTGCGCCTTTTATTATTTTTATATCTTGTGGTATACTCGCTCCCCTTTGGTTGTGGTATCAAGTATTCCTGCTTATAACATCTGAGTACAAAGGTCGTTCTTCTCGAATGCCTTCCTATCTCCCACAATTAATTATTCCCAATTGTGATCATAACCTCTTCGAAGAAATTGCATTAGCAAATCCTAACTCTTTCTATCGAATGAATCTTATCCAAGGTCAGCTTGAAATAATGCCTCCACAACCAGTTCGCAATGAAACCGGTATATAGCTCGCTAAGCCACTACTTGATAGTTTTATCGAGTTGAAAATGTGTACTAAAACCATAGATAAAAAAAATGTTATTTAGATCAAGGAGAGTTACTTATTATTTATCAAATTGTCGGATGGTGCCTTGCTAATGCCAATTTGGTTGGACACCATGGTGGTTCCCAGGTGTATTATGCAAACATCATTGACATTTCTTTTTTCATGTTGCTAATATCACGTCTTTTTATTTATTCTAGGGAGCCTATACATTGAACAGTGGTGATATTCTGGGTCCCGGAGCTTCTGTTGTCCTTAGTGCCAGGTTTCTGAGCGTTATCTATTGTAAAGATAATTTGCATATTTGCGTCATTTTTTAACTTTTATTTTATTATTGCAGATGGAATGCTCTATCAACTAATGATAGACGACGAGCATTTCCACCAGTTGCACCAAATTTTATTGTGGAATTACGTTCAATAAGCAATTCACCTCAGTATGTTCATAGGAAAACGTTACTATGGATTGGTGCGGGAGTTGAGGGAAGTAGACTAATGATGATCACTAGTTATTTATTGATATTAATTACGTACTACGTATCATGCTTATCTAGGAAGGAGTATCAATTGATCCAATTGCAAATCCACCTACAGTGAGGGTCTATAGCTATAATTCCAACACTAATAGTGTCATTTGGCAAGAGTTTGTGAATCCTCAAACAGTTACTTCACAAGTTCTTACTGGATTTGTAATGAATATGCAAGGTATCCTTTGATGGTAGACAACTCTCTGAATATTTTTACGGTAATTATTAGTATTTAATGGCCGAATGCTTGGAGAATTAAAAGTGACTAAATGAGATTTTCCGTTCTTTAGACTTTTATCCAACGTGCACAATAGAATGAAATGAAACAAGCTCTTTTGTATAGGGCCAATAGATGTACTGTATAAATCTATTAATAAAACAGACCTTTGGGTCGTGAATCAATCATTATTTTCAGGGTTGTTACGTTTACTATGTTTGTTCTATTGGCTTCTAATTCTATTCACTTTTTTTCATTTTTCTATTGTAGATTTTCAGTATTAAATTTTACTAATTAAATATAAAAATATTTTAAATTTATTACTTTACTAATGGTCTAACAATATATATTTAAATAATTGCAAATTATTAATAAAAAAAATTTTTTTTATATAAAGACAAAAAATCAAGCTTTTGTTTTATTGTTCTATTTGCCAACACTGATTATTTTACATTAATTATGTGAATTTGTTAATAGTTTCACGTGTTCGGGTTTAGAAGGAGCGAAAAATGAAAGATGCAGTAGTGATCAAAGTCTCCCTGCTGAGACGGTTACTGTTGCAATTGTTATTTGTTCTGATGTTTTGTTGTTACATGTCTTTAGAGGATCGAAGATTATTTCCTTCAGAAACTGTGCTTGCGACAATTCGTTAATCTGTTAATCGGATTTGTCTTTCAGCTGAAAGATTCAGGGTAGGACTTTCATTGCTAGTCATTGTGAGGGTTAAGTATAAGATTGGACTCTTTAATCTTTATTGTTACTGTTCCACAATTACAGTTATTCTGACTTTTTTTTACGGAGTCCATAAGTCGAAACTATTACACCTGCAAAAATTCAGAATTACTAGTTAAGATTGGCCAGTTGGTCTCTTGATCTGCTTTATGCAAGTAAAACGAAATCGACGAAAAAAAATAATCTAATCAAACCTACCAATTCAAACCGCCAAGCGAGATAAGTCCGCTAAGATTTCAGTTATGATGCAGATTATATGTTATACTAGATCCTATCAAATTACTAATTGGATGAAGTAAAAACATATAAACATATCTCAATACTTATTGTCTACATACTCCCAATAATATCTATCAGCATGAGTTAAACGTCCTCTGCAAACTTTGCCAATATCTGACTGGTCAATTCTAGTTATGCGTTGTATTTCAGCTAAAGATCAAAATTCTTGAGTAGAGCCATCATCGAAAAACTGTTTGACAGCACGTCAGTTGCAGTTACCTCAAAGCCCGAGTTGTACAGCATGATTAGAGTTTTCTTCCAGTGTATACCATTCGAGATCGTGTATCTACTAAAGAAAATAAAATTTTAGTAGATATTTCATCACGAGATATACTGATCGAAGTGTTAATTAGAGAAGCAAGATATAGCAATACTAACTATTTAGGGCTTACTGAAATTCCTTCAGATTTCCTCTCGTTAATTGATACAAATATTATTATCAAAGATTGTCCTAAATCTACCAGCAAATCGAATTATGAGAATGGTCTATTCATAGAAAAATCCAATAATAAACGTTTGTAGGTTGCATTTAGGCAATAGTTTGGTTTAAAAAAATTTGATAGGCCAATTAAAAGAAGCATGTGTGTCAGCACCTCAGATTGAAATGGAGAAAACTTCGACATGCTCTTGTTTTTCAAAACAATAAGAATTCGCAAGATATCCTAAACAATGCTATCAAATGTAATATCTGAAAAGAAAAGGTCTGCATTATTATATCTGCACGTAATAATTTTCAATCCCTCGATAAGATAGTTAAGTTTCAGCATCTAACGATATCAGAGTATGTCACGGATCAAGAAAACTGAATTTTAATCTATTTAGAACTACTTATCGATCAAAGTGCCATAGAACAAGCGACCGATGCTGTGAGTGTTTATTATTTCTATACATTGAAGCATCCATCCCATCAGAGTGATGAGTTCTGTTCCTATAATCTCTCAACAAAATCTAAATGATGCTTATGGATTAAATTGCAGGTTAGACTCGACAAACTGAAAGCAAAACAAATACGAATCCTACCTTCAACAGATTGCAGAAGAGGACATATCAGTAAATCTTTGTCATAATGCTAGTCTTGTAATATATAAATGAAAAATTATAACCACTATTTTTTAGATTTGAGGTGAGCATGTTGTAGGCTGAAGGCAGAAGATCTGTTACCTGATCCTGAATAATAGAGAAAGATATCTTTCGAAGAAAGTGCACTTCATGCATTGCAGTATAGACAGTTTTTATTATTATTCTATGGTTATATATTCATGAATTGTATCTATAGTTGTTGGTAGAATTAATGAATTACAGCATTCTACCATTCTACCATATGGTAAAATTAATTCTACCATAAGATTCTCTTGCCGTAAAACTTGAATGCCGTAATGCCGTAATGCTGTAATGCTGTAATACCATAATGCCGTAATAGCATAATACTATAATGTCATAATGCTATAATATCATAATGCTATAATGTTATAATACTGTAATATTATAATATTGTAATACTATAATACTATAACTATAATACTATAATACTATAATATTATAGTAT